TCCATTCTTGTGCCAGTACCAAATTGTCTTGATTACTGTGGCTTTGTAGTAGAGCTTGAAGTTGGGGAGTGTAATCTCCCCTGCTTTATTCTTCCTTCTCAGGATTGATTTGGCTATTTGGGGTCTTTTGTGGTTCCATATGAATTTTAGAACTATTTGCTCTAGTTCACTGAAGAATGCTGTTGGTATTTTGATAGGGGTTGCATTGAATCTGTAGATTGCTTTAGGCAGGATGGCCATTTTGACAATATTAATTCTTCCTATCCATGAGCACAAGATGTGTTTCCATTTATTGGTATCTTCTTTAATTTCTCTCATGAGTGTCTTGAGGTTTTCAGAGTATGGGTCTTTCACTTCCTTGGTTAGATTTATTCCTAGGTATTTTATTTTCCTCTCTTTTTAACAAATGAGAAACCTGAGGTTTGGAGAATTTAAAGAATGTGCCCAAAGTGATATAGCCAATAGGTGGCTGACCAGGGGGTTATGCCATAAATTCTGGGGATTATGCTGGTGCATGTTTAACTACCAGCACTCTGGGGGAAAAGGAGCACCCTTTGGTAGTGTTTTCTGATTTCTATTGTGTAAATACTCTCATCAGGGTGGATTTCAAGCTACGAACATAACACCACTAAACACAGGATTGGGAAGAGATGCACAGAAATAGCTCTTCTAAGCCATATCAGTCAACCCAGTGTTACACATTATTTATTCCCAAGTCCACACTCTTTCTATCCATTTGCTTCCTCCCATGATCAGACTTAGTCTCCAGGGAACAGAGAATGCAGTAGTTAAATGACTGGAAATTCAAAAACCAGGTTCTCTTAAAGTGGCTGGCTTCCAGCCCTAGCTAAGAGACTGAAAAGGTGCAGGTTCTAAGAAAGGGAGATTCATACCTCATTTGAGGGTTGTCGGGGTTTCCAAGCCTTGCTGCATATCAGAATCACCTGGAAAACCTGTAAATTTACAGATTATGGACAACATCACATAGAAGTGTAAAGTGCGAACTCTGCAGCCTGTGTTCAAACCTGTTTCGGCCACTGGCTGCCTGAATGATCTTGGGAATATAAGTAAAATAAGCATTAAATTGTCTCATTACCAAGAAATCTCCTGGATGAGCCCGTCTGTCCTTATTTTAAGCAAATTTTTCCAGTGATTTTTATGCGATCATCTGGGCTTATCCATAGACATCTGGGAAACCATTCTATGTTTTACCATTATAAACCACTCTACAAAACTCTGTAATTCTTGCTCTTTGGGAGCTGAATAGCTTATAGGAACCAAGATACAACCTAATGTCCTTAAAAAGCCGGGACATTCTGTAAACCCTCAGCTTGCTAGGGTGCTTTGGAAGTTCTATCACAAGTCCTTATCCTGCCATAGAAGACCTAGGTTGAAGGATATTATACATATCTTGCTTTTAAAAGTAGATCCTAATTTACAATTAAAATTTCATCTTAATGATGGCACAGAACATGATAGAGGTTATAGGTTTAATCTGAATTTCCACAAAGCATCATAATTTCCCCTAAAGTCACCCTCAATGTACGTTTGCACATACATGATAAACCTACATTTCGTTTTGGCCTGCATGCATGTGGAGAGTCCTTAGGGCTCTAGTTTTGCTCTAACTTCCAGAGTGAAACAGAATAGTTTGTCTTAGAGGAGGGTTAGCCATCAGCCCTTAATGCTAGGGAAATGGAGCACAGGTGGCATGTAACTCCACCCACTTAGACAGGGACTATGTTACCTGACCCCGGTGCCTTGCTTTTCCACAATGGAAACTAGAAACTTCTAGAAGTGATTACATTTTTTCATTTTCCCATGCAGGCTTTTGTTCATTGCTGGATGCCATTCAGCACTGTGAAAAGCAAGTAAGAGGATAGTCTAATTATTGAATCTCTCCATCCCCCAGACACGAGCCTGAGCCTTACTTTCATATCGTACTCACTTTGTGCCCTCAGAAGTTAATTACCTTCTCTAACTCTCAGCTTTATCCTCTGTAAAAAGCATATTATAATACCTACTGCTTGAGTTTGGTATGAGGACACAATGAGATTTGTAAAGCACTTAGTAACCGCACATGGAAAATGTAAATAAGTGGTACCTTGAAAAAAAAAGAACTGCATTGCAAATACAAAAATCTAAATCAACATCAGTGTATAGTATAAAACAGAGAAGGAACACATCATAAAGAGGGATGCATGGTCGAAAATACATTGTAAATTAAGTCTACATATTATGAGAGGTGTGATTTCATAGGTTTTCTAGGCATGTGGAAATGCTATCCTCATTTCCACTTAAGGGAGAATTTCAGAGTAGGTTTGTCCTTTGTACTTTGTCTTTTGTACTTTGTATCAAGAAAATGGAAGACAGATATGGAGCACTCAAGGGGTCGGGAGAGGGTGTTTTTTAATGCCTCAGAGGGAAAACTGTGGACACTTTTGAGTTGTTACTCAGAATGCTCTGTAAGGACAGAGTTGTTAACTGGGAATCATAAAATTGTACAGTTGTAGCTTCTGCCTAGAGGCATGCAAGGATGCACAGCGGACAAATCGTGTGTGGCTGTCTGCCATCCGCCCCAGTTAAGAGCTTCTAATCAGCAGATTGCTGTGTGAGGTAGTTCATACTGTTAACTCCACTTAGAAGATGACTTTGAAGCAAGGTCAACAGAGATGCTAAATTGCATGTACAATGAGTATCTGAGGATAGCCTTGAATTAAATTATCACATAAATCAACCTCCTCCTTTTCTCCAGGGCTCTGGATGTCTTGGTGAAACATGAATTTCCTTTCCTCCTGTACTTCATCTCCATCCTTCCCCACTTCCCATCCAGCCCCAAGCAGGCTCTCCAGAATTCAGGGAATAACCATTCATCTATTTATTCAGTTTATAGACATAATGTGAGTGTCTGCTGTGTACCAAACTCAGAAGTAGGTGTTAGAAGTATAAATATGGATCAAAGTATCTGCATATGACTAATGCACATTCTGCTTTGAGGAACAAAAATGGAAATAGTCACACTGTGATTTGGTAACTGTTTTAATGGTTCTCTAAAAGCACCAAGGCAGAAATAACCATTCTGCTTTGGGAAGGTGGGAGAGCTTCTCAAGCTGGCGATTCTTGATTTGAGTGTTGAGGGAGTGCTCAGGAGTCAAAGGCAGGGACAAAATTCCAGGCAGAAAGCATCATTGCATGCACCAGCTCAGATATGGGTGTGGTTAACGTGTAGACCACATGGTGGAAAGAGGGAGCCTGGAATGACAGCCTGGAGAGGGATCATGATGGCAGGATGGTGAAAATGAAGCTCAGAGGTAGAACTGGCTTTGTTCCAGCTCTGAATTTTACAATTGGAAGGGTCTTGGTGATCCTGTAGTTTAACCTCCAAAAGGCTCAAGGCAGTTAATAGCTTATTCACGACTGGAACAGAAGCAATCTCTTAACACTTGGTTTTATCCTTTTCTGAAGCCTCAGCCATGACTTCCAGCACCAGTTGGGACGATTGGTCTTATAAAGCCCAGAAGCTGGGTCTGTTAGAGCTCAACCTAGAAATTATAGTATGGTGTTAGATCTCTGTGCTAACTTGACAAATATTTTATATATATTGTTATAAGACTCCAAAGACTACTTAAGGAAGAGTGTATTAGTTTTCCATTGCTGTTATAACAAATCGCCATAAACTTGATTTATATAAATTTATTTTCCTACAGTTCTGGAGGCCAAAAGCTGAAGTCAGTTTCACTGGGCTAAAGACAAGGTGTCGGCAGGCCTGGTTCTTTCTAGAAGCTGCTCACATTCCTTGGCTGTGGCTACATCACTCCAATCTCTGCTGCTGTTGTCACATTGCCTTCTCAACTTTTTGACCTTCTTGCTTCCCTCTTATAAGGACACCTGTGATTACATTTAGGCCCCGCCTGACTAATTCAGGCTCATCTCATTTTATGACCTTTAATTTAATCACATGTGTAAAGTCTCCTTTGCCATATGAGGTGATATTCAGATTTTGTAATTAGGATTAGGAGGTGGATATTTTAAGGGAGAAAGGAAGGATTCTTCAGCTTATCCCAGAGAGCAGTGTTCTTTATTCCTGAATAGGAAGCATGTGGACAACACGTTGCTGTTTGTGGCTGTGGACTTGGGGCTGAGGGGTAAATGGGAAGGTCTGGGACAAGTAATCCTCATTAGTTAGTCTATGGAGAATTAGGTACTTGAGGGGTTTGGTCTGATCTTTGAGGGGCAGAAGGCCATTGTCTTTTCCCCCTCTGCCTATAGTAAGTGCCATCCAAACTGAATTAACATTGTACTAGAATGTATTTGGAAATTTTGAAAGGGTAGAGGATTCCTTTTGAAGCTTTTGTCCACTGAATCACTGACAGCAGAGCCATGTGACTGGCTGACCGCTGGAAGTGAACTTTTTTGATGTACAGATGCAGGAGGTTCACAGTTTCTGATTCTGAATTGGCTGCCTGTGCAATTCAGGACATGCTGACAATGCAGAGCAGAACTACCCTCAGCCCCATGTAAGAGGGGCCCCTGTTTCAGGGCCTGAAACAAGAGCCTGCTCTGGCCTCCTTTGCAGCAGCTTTCCCCAGTATGCCACAGGGACATGTCTACTTGGAACCCAGTCTTCCCCCCAGCCACCTCCAGATGCCCAGGAATTTAGAGTCTGGCCAGAATGGTCCCAAGCCTGCTTCCAGGGCCTGTACCAACCTCTTCCCCTTGTCCACCTTCCTGAGGTCAGGAGGCCGAGTGCATCCAGGGGTGGCTGAGTGGTGGCTCTTTGCTGCATGGAACTTGGACATGGGAACTAGCACATGGGTAAACTCCAGGCTGTCAGAACACAGAGCAAAGTCTTGACCAGCAGCCAGCTCTCCTGCATGACCTGCAGGGTCTGGTGGAGAACGCTGAGGAGGCTGAGAACTTAAAGGACTGGGCTTCCTCAGTCTTATGAAGGCATATTTTATCAAGGTAGGAGGATTGAATACCAGCTACTTAACAGTTTGTCAGCCTGATTTATAACTCTTAAAAATTAGACATGTAGGATGTGTGCCTAGGTAATATCCCTGTGTTAATTAGGGCTCTGTGTATGTTAGTGGCAGGCCTGGCCCGACCTATACTCACTGCTGTGAACAACAGTGCATAAGTGAGAGGTATGCTCCCTGGCACAAAGCAGCCCAAGCAAAGCATCGTAATGGGGAGAAATCAAGTCAAGTTTCTTTGGGCAGTAAACTGAATATAAAAAGTTCAGTTAATCCCACAAATCATTAGGTCACTGATCTTTTAGGCACTCAAACCTTTAAATAAGATAGGTATTAAGGGCTAAATGTTAGCTGGAGTGAAGAGGGTAAATAAGATTTAATGCCTTTAACATGAATAGTTTTGATGTTTGGGGTTTTGGAAAATATCTGATCCTTTATTCTAAATACCAGTCTTTTATTGTAACCATGCAGTTTAGCTGCATGGGAACTAAAAAGAATGTTAGCAAAAAAAACCCCCTAAGAACAAAAGAATGAGTGATTTTTTTGCCCCCGTAATCAGTATGGCCCCACGAAGACATCATTCCAATCAGATCTGAATCCCTGAGGTGTGGGAGGGAGCCTCTCACTGGAGAAAACTACAGTGGGTTTTCTCAATTCTCCTGGTTAATTTATCAATGGAATTTATCCTGACAATTTAAGTAGTGTAAGGATTAAAAACTGAAGTCTATATTCAATGCTAGCTATGTTTTAAAAGTGAAATGAAGAATAAACACTCAAAAAAAACCATCTGAAGTCTACTAATTCTTCTTAATCACAAAATACATATGGGTTACTTTAGTTTCTTTCACTTTTTTTTAGATACACCTAAAGTTTCATGGTTAAGAGCAGCATGCTAACTTGTACTATCTCTGTGCTGCTCTTGGAGACAGAATTTTCCAGGTGGAACAGATAGTAATAATGGCTGACTAATGCCACCTCCTCTCTTAAGGCTCTCCCCTGTATTTTTCCAGCTATTAATCCACATACAAAACACAATTGCTCAGCTTTTATTCAACAGGAGGTACTAGCCATAGCAATCAGACAACACGAAAAGATAAAAGGCATCCTAACTGGTAAGAAAGAAGCTAAGCTCTCACTATTTGCAGATGACATGATATTATACATAGAAAACCCTAAAGAATCCACCAAAAAACTACTAGAACTAATAATGGCTTCTACAAAGTTGCAGGGTATAAAATTAATACACAGAAATCTGCTGCATTCCTATATTCTAATGATGAACCAGCAGAAAGAGAAACCAGGAAAACAACTCCACTTATAATTGCAGCAAAAAGAATAAAATACCTGGGAATAAACCTAACTAAGGAGGTGAAAGACTCTGAAAACTACAAGACATTCATGAGAGAAATTAAAGAACATACCAATAAATGGAAATCTATCCCATGCTCATGGATAGGAAGAATTAATATTGTCAAACTGGCCATCCTGCCCAAAGCAATTTACAGATTCAATGCAATCCCTATCAAAATACTAACAGCATTATTCAATGAACTAGAACAAATAGTTCTAAAATTCATTTGAAACCACAACAGACCTCGAATAGCCAAAGCAATCCTGAGAAAGAACAAAGCTGGGGAGACTATGCTCCCTGACTTCAAGTTCTACTACAAAGCTACAGCAATCAAAACAATTTGGTAATGGCATAAGAACAGACCCATAGATCAATGGAACAGAATAGAGAGCCCAGATATAGACCTATGCATATATGATCAATTAATATATGATAAAGGAGCCATGAATATACAATGGGGAAATGACAGCCTCTTCAACAACTGGTGCTGGCAAAACTGGACAGCTAATTGCAAGAGAATGAAATTAGATTACTGTCTACCTCCATACACAAAAGTAAACTGGAAATGGATCAAAGACCAGAATTTAAGTCATGAAACCATAAAACTCTTAGAGGAAAACATAGGCAAAAACTTCCTGAATATAAACATGAGCAACTTTTTCCTGAACACATACCTTGGGAAAGGTAAACAAAATAAAAAATGAACAAATGGGACTATATCAAGCTAAAAATCTTCAGTACAGCAAAGAACACCATCAACAGAACAAAAAGGCATCCTACAGTATGGGAGAATATGTTTGTAAATGACAAATCCGACAAGGGGTTAACATCCAAAATATATAAAGAACTCACACGCCTCAACAACCAAAAAACAAATAAGTCGATCAAAAAATGGGTGGAGGATCTGGAAAGACACTTCTCCAAGAAGAAATACAAATGGCCAACAAGCATATGAAAAGATGCTCCACATCACTAATCATCAGAGAAATGTAAATTAAAACCACAATGAGATATCACCTTATACCAGTTAGAATGGTTGCTACGTAAAAGACAAGAAACAACAAATGCTGGCAAGGATGCAGAGAAAGGGGAACTCTCCTACACTGCTGGTGGAAATGTCAATTGGTGTAACCACTGTGCAAAGCAGTATGGAGTTTCCTCAAAAAACTAAAAATAGAAATACCATTTGACCTGGGAATTCCACTCCTAGGAATTTACCCAACGAAAGCAAAATCCCTGATGGAGAAAGCTATCTGCACCCCTATGTTCATATCTACACTGTTTGCAATAGCCAAGATATGGAAGCAGCCTAAGTGTCCATCAATAGATGAATGGATAAAGAAGATGTGGTACATATACACAGTAGAATATTATTCAGCCATAAAAAGAAAAGAAATCCTGCTATTTGCAACAACCTGGGTGGATATAGGGGTTTTATGTCAGTGAAATAAGCCAGGCAGAGAAAGATAAATATTATATGATTTCACTTATTTGTGGAATATAAAAACAAAGCAAAACAGAAGGAACAAAATAGCATTAGACTCATAGACACTGAGAAGTGACTAGTGGTTACTAAGAGGGAGGGGCTGCATGGGGGCAGGGGGAAGGGGATTGTTGAACCACTGTGATGTTCATCTGATAATTAAAAAAAAAGAAAAGAAAACACAATTGCTCAGAAGCTAGAATTCCCATTTTTAAAACCATCAAACAATCAGCGTTACATACTGAGTTTATTTGGAGATTACATTTTTACATTTTGACCTGAGTCTTTGAGATTAAAAAAATAAAATGGAAAATTATCAGAGAAATATTACTTTCCACAAAACTGAAAATACCATGCCTGGCTAGTGTCTGTTTTCTAGTCTGATAAATACTAGATGAAATTCAAAATATGCTCACAACTGTAGTCTGTAAAATTATTCTTAAGAAGCAAAGGGGCTTAATTTTTAGTTATTCCCTTGGATCAGCTGCCTCCTCCAGTTACTAACACTGCCCTCTAATTTGGAGATCTATAGTGGTTTCCAATTTTTTTTGTGGATGCCATACAAATATCCCATATTTATTTATAAATTTTATAATGTGCTACTATACTGATATATATGTATTCATTATGAAGCTCAAATTCAGAAGGTAAATGTTGAGGTCTAAAAAACAAATTCTTTTTTCTTGCATGCCTGCTGAGATGGGGTACCTATTTTGGTAGCCCTTGCTGTAAGGTAACATCTGACTCAAAAAATTTCCCTTGGCTATGAACTCTGCTTTTAAAAAGAAGAGAAGATCTGGATAACTTTTTCTCAAATATAGAACACACTTCTTGTCCTTGAGTCCTTGACTCTACCTTTTCTGGCCCATCTCAAATACTAAAAGTCTAGGGCATACAGTAGCCTAACCCAGAGGTCAGCAAACTTTTTTGGTAAAGGGTCAGAGAGTAAATATTTCAGGCTTTGTGGGTTGTATGTCTGTCGCAACTACTCAGCTCTGCCCCTGTAGTGCAAAGCTGTGTGACAATGTGTAAATGAATGTGGCTGTGTGTCAAAACTTTATGGACACTGAAATTTGAATTTTACATAATTCTCATGTGTCAAAAATATTTTCCCCTTTTCCCACAACCATGTTAAATGGTAAAAGCCATTCTTAGCTCTCAGGCCATTCAAAAACAGCTGGCAACCCAAAACTATAAAACTATTAGAAGGAAACAGAGAGAAAGCTTCACGACATTGAACTTGACAGTGATTACTTGGTTATGGCAACAAAAGCAAGAATATTCAAGTAGAATTATATCAAACTTAAAACTTCTGGGCCTCAAGGACACAACAGAGTGAAAGGGAATAAAAGAAAATTATGCAAATCATATATCTGATAAGAGGTTAATAATCCAGGTTATATAAAGAATCCTACAACTCAACACAAAAAAAAATCAAATAACCCAATTTAAAGGACTTGAGTAGAAGTTTCTCCAAAGATGATTTACAAATGGTCAACAAGTATAGGAAAAGATATTCAACATCGCTATAATTACCAGAGAAATGCAAATCAAACCACAGTGAAATATCACCTCCCATCCATTTTGATAGCTACTATCAAAAAAAACCCCAAAAAACCCAAAACAAAAAACCCAAAACAAAACTGCTTTGACAGTGTTGTCTGGCAGCTGTGTGGGGAGGTCTCTCCTTGAGCACTAGGTGAAACCTCAACCTGGACAGGGGAGGATTCTTGACTCTGATTGAGAAAGAATTCTCAAACAGGTCAAACAAGTGTAGGTAAGGAAGGAATTAAAGCAAGAGTAGTAGTGAATGGCCGTAGCTGTGCAAGCAGCAGAGTGCAAGGAAGAGCAGAGAGAGGAAAGAAGAACTCACTGAACTCCTGCTCGGCATAGGGCAGATCCCTTGCCAACTCCTGAAGCCAGGGTCACCTGGTGTCCAGTGTCCCCTTGAATCTGCACGGCGTGGGAACTAAGCCACTACCACCCCAAGACTTGGGGAGTCACGGAGCACCAGAAGGAGTGAGTCTATGTTCTAAGAACTTCCTCTTCCCTACTGGTCTGAAATAAAACAGGGAGAGAGAAATAGATTGTGTTAAGACTAGAAATCTAAATGAAATAGCAAAGTGACAAAGACATTTACCACCAGGGGTGGAGGTTGGCGAGTTCTTGTCTTTATCATGGGAAAGAGTTCAGAGACCGGTGCAATCAGTTTATGCAACAAGAAAGTTCATTTGATACAAGACAATACACACTCACATGGGAGTGCGAGTGACCTCAGAGGGGAGGGGCACTTAATGGTTGAGGGTTTGGGGTTTTATAGGGCCTTTTGGGTAGGGGTCAGCATAAGGCATGATGTATACAGGTGATTCATAATTCCTTTGAAGTTTTGTCTTAAGAATAGGGTTATTTAGGTGACTGTTAATCCGGATCTTGGTATTCTTTATCCACAAGGGTTCATGTACACTTCGGAGGTCTATCTCTTGTCCTGGTTACAAAGTTACTTAATTGATTAAGGGGCTGGAAGAAGAGGAAGAACAGCATATAGTTAAGTTAAAGAATAAGCTGAGCCTTTTTGCAGGCTAAGTAGATTTTACAGTGGCATGACTCTTGTTCCATTTCTCTGCCCTATCTCAACAGGATTTAGGGAGATTAGAACCCTTGTGTACTGTTGGTGGGATTGTAAAATGATGCAGCCAGTATGGAAAAAGAGTATGGAGGTTCCCCCCAAAATTAAGAATAGAACTACAATATGATCAAGCAATCTCTCTTCTGGGTATATATGCAAAATAATTGAAAGCAGGATCTCAAAGAGATATTTGCACAGCCATGTTCATAGCAACACTACTCAGAATAGCAGAGGTGTAAGCAACCCAAATGTCCATTGATGGATGAATGGATAAAAAAATCTAAATGCATGTAATAGAATATCATCCAGCCTTAAGGGAAATCCAGGCATATGCTACTGCTACAACAGGAATGAACTTTGAGACATTATTCTAAGTGAAATACGCCAGTCACAAAAAGATAGATACTGGATGATTACATTTATATAAGGCATTTAAATAATCAAATCCACATAAACAAAGTAGAATGGTGTTTACCAGGGCCTGGGGGCAGGGAAAAAAGGGGAGTGCTGTTTAATGGGTATAGAGTTTCAGATTGGCAAGATGAAAAAGTTGGTTTCTCAGTAATATGAATATACTTAACACTCCTGAACTGTATACTTAATGTAAAATGGTTAAGATGGTAAATTTTATGGTTTCTACCTCAACACAAAAAAGAGAAAAATATCACTATAGTATGGATTTTGAGGACTTTACATTCTGAAAAACAGATTTAATCAATAAAGCAAAATTAGGTGGCAGGTCAGATTTGGCCCCAGGTTAAATTTTGCTGACGCTTGGCGGAACAATCCAACTCTCCTTTAATCAGCCCTCAGTCTTCTTAATTCCACCATCCCCAAAACTGTATAGAAACACCAAATGTTACAACTGCAAGTGACCAGACAGACTTGGTCATTTTCGAGAGTAGGAGTGGGAAGGTGGGACAGGCATTTTCGAAGGTCAAAGAGGAATTAACATCAGAGCACTGATTAGATACAGTTGCCCAAGTTATCCATACATTCTTATTAATCAGGAAAACAGTCTGATTTTACTGGTGGTGAACACAGTAGTCATTGAATTCCACAGGTGGCACTGTAAGTACGCACTAAATTAAAGTCCTGTAGTAACTAGTCAAGTTGTCCTCTAGTGCTCTGTGCCTTTAGGCCTGGAGCTAGAAGTAGGGGCAGAACTGATTACAGAATTCACAGTAAAAATCAGAGCTATTATGCTAAAACTGTTTTGTATGTGGTTTCCCAGAAGTAATTTAAGTAGCACTTAACATTTTGTTAAGTGTTAAAATCATCTTTAGTACAAGTCTCCAGAAATGTTATGTTGACTATCAGCTTCTTTTAGGGAACAGTATATGTTTGCCCCTCTTCTTCACAGAATTAATTAACATTTGAAAATTAATATTAAAAAACAAAATTTTACTGAGTGAATGTTAAAGATCTTACTGACTTTATTCAATGACAAATGAATTGGGGTTGTATCCCATCTAACAGACAGAAAGGGGCCCCAAGGAGCTGTAGGAAATGAAGGGCACTCCTAGGCTGAAGGGGGCAGGACGAGGAAGTCACATGAGCAAAAAAAGGATTGGTTGCTGCAAAGACCTATCAAGTGGATTGCTTCACTAGTGCTGGTTGACTGGTTTAAGTTCCCATTTCTGGTAGAACTGAAACTAATGAAATCACAGGGCTTAGTTTCAGTAACTCCATTTTGGGTCTTGTCTTTTACCAGCTATCATTATGTGCTGAGTGCCTGACTTCTTAGGGGTGGCAAAGGGGAAGGAGAAATAAAGCCCAGTTCAGCAGGTCAGGATCTAAAATTAAACCATGAGTGAAATGCAGAGGGTGAAGGGTCATTTTGCCCTAAATTATGAAACAGGGAAGGCTAAAGGTTTTGCCTGGATTGACATAAATTGTTAAACAGCTTTTCTTCATTGTCTAGAAAAAAATCCAACCATTAAGCTTTAGAAGTTGAGTTGAGCAGAGATTACAATATAGTCCATAAAGTTTATGTAGTATTCCAGAATTAAGCAAAAACATTACTATTTAATTAATACAGCTCCAGTTATAGTCTCAACATTGTGTCAAGACTATTCATTCCTCCTGAACTCTCCTGGTTTGCAGAGATGTGCTTACCTAAGGCATCTGCTCTCAATGAAAAACCCTGTGAACACTTGTCTCTTCATAATATCAGCATGTGTAGAGTTATCAAGGTAACATTTCAAATTGCTTCTTAAACATAATAAGCAAAGCAACACATGAGCTAGATATGTTACAGAAAATACTGGAAAACCTGGACTCGGTCACTGATGGAAGAACCAAGCGGCACTCAGAGGTCTCGGAGTTTTGAGGTTTATTTTACACCTGTGGGCTCAGAGGGGACTAATCTCCCAAGGTCTGAGCCCTGAGCACAAGCAAGTGGAAAAATTTATATTATTTTGATATGTAGCATTTCGGCATGCGTAGGGCAAAAGAGGAGCCTGGAGGAGGGGAGGAGGGAGCTGGGAGTGCTTTGCCAACTAGAGGAAAAAAGCGGTTTGCTGACCTTGATGGCTGTGTTGAATATTTTCCTTATCAGATAGTATCCTAGTTCAGAAAACAAATCTTTCCCCCTATCCCTAGCTGTGCAAGACATTCCTGAGATAGTCATAGAAATTGGAATATGGACTATTAAATGATATCAGGGAACTGTTTTCTTCAGTGTTCTAACCGTATTGGGATTCTGTAGTAAATGTCCTTATTCTTAGAAGAGCAGGTTGAAGTATTTAGGGGTGACTTATTTTGACATCTGTACCTTATGCCTTTTTGTTATACCATATGAATATGTATTTCCTATATATTTGAAAATCTTCACAAAGCATTGGGGTGAGAGGACCAAAGGGCATCTTTTTATTTTTACAATTGAAAATGCTTTTATTTTTTGAAATGTGTTTTTTTAAATTGAGGTACATATAATAACTTGGACTGATCTTAGTGTATGGCTCGATTAATTTTAAGTTTTGGCATGTGTATCTATCCATGTTGAAGGGTCCCCACCAGTAAGATG